AGAAGACAGAGCCTATGGGAGGTCCCTAGGTCATTGAAAGTATGTTCTCAAAGGGAGATGGCGGGACCCTGGTCCCTTCCTCTTTTGCTTCCTGACCATGAGATAACAGTTTTGTTCCAAAAGGTACTCCTGTTGTGATGCGTAACTTCGCTGAAGGTTCCAAAACAGGTCCATATAATCTTGGGCTGGAACCTCTAAAATTATGAGCCAAAAATGAATGTCGTAAACTTTAAAAACATTGTTTTTTCTCTCCCTTCTCCCCCCTTCCCCATGTCTGTGTAGGTCAGAGGACAACTGGGAAGAATCAGTTTTCTCCTCCCACTGTCTGGGTCCTTGGGATTGAACTCAGGTCATCAGGCTTGGTGGCAAGTGCTCTTACCCCACTGAGCTGACTCACTCACAGCCCCGTGAGTAGGTTCTGTATAAGTCAGCTACCTCAGGTATCTCTTCACAATGATGTGAAGCTAACAGTTGGGACCTCAGGGAGGCACCTCCCCAGTGAACGAGAGCCAGGCAACTCTGAAATACGGCATCAAAAATTCTGATTCGAAACTGAATGATGCAAACTGTGACCATCTGGTAGGAAACATTGCTACAGTGTTGGGTCTCAGTCTGGTGGAGGCTCAAGAGTGCCCTGTTAGAGGATCCGAGTACACGTTGTCAACTCCTGAAGGTCTGCTGGAGCGGGTCGTAGCTCGCAGTTTTCTCTGTGTGTAGCTGTCCTCTAGTCTTCCTTTGACTGTCCTCTGTCGCTCCTCTTCTTGCAGTTTCAATCACCACTTGCTTCCTAAGGTCCTTGGGGTCCTACTAGCACTGACTGGGCAGTGTTCTTATTAGACCTGGATATCCAGAGGCTTCCTGGCCTTTCTGCCTAGCTGTCCAACGTTTCCCTGAGGTGTAGCTGACACCCAGGGACTTAACCCTCCTCTCTACTTGCTAAAGTAGGCGATACTGCAGCTCCATCTAACGGATGAGGACGCTGAGTTCCAGCTTAACATTTGAAAGACTCTAAAGCTGAGTTGGCGTTCTGAGCCATGACGTCATATAATCAGCAATAATGGGCTGAAAATTATGATGCTCTCTATAAAGCCAGGAGGATTCATTTATATTATTTTTGTTTTTTCTGGCTGGGATAGGCAGCTTGGAAAGTCGCCGGGCATCAGCTGGACTTGCCGAGAAACCCATTAACCGTGGCCTTTCTGAGAAAATCTTCAAGAGCATTTACTTGCAAGGCAAATGATGAAGATTTAGGATTTGCCCTGTGATTCCTCTTCCACGCTGCTCTTTAAATAAACATTTCCTAATCCAAAAGCAACCACAGCTATTTCAGACTTTTATCTTTTAAAACCTGAATTCACTGCTTTCGCTGAGTTTTACAAGAGCCGGCCTTCGAGATAAACCCTGATAAGGCCACCGAGGCCTCGCTCCTCCTAAGCAATCTGAGTCTGGTAATGACTACCCATTGCACTTAATAACGAGGAGCATTTGCGAACACTTGGCTTTGTTGTAAAGGGCAAGATTTTGGAAGCGGGCTCCCAGGACTGCATCCAGATCCATTTTCCTGGAACATAACTAGAGGGGGCTCTGCTTAAGCGCCAGGTGAAAACAGAGCAGGCGACAGTTCAGTGGCTGCCTAAGGCCTGGCCCTGGGGTAGAAAGTGCTACAGGAGTCCAGGCACCATAACCTTTGGATGCCTTTGTACATATTGGGGAGGAAACAAAAGTCCTTTCCAGGCTCGGCTGGGAAAGGTCTTGGGAGCAAACAGGTCTTGGAAGCCCCACAGCATCCCCATGGTCCCTGCGCCCCCCTGTGTCTCCTGGGTATGCTGATTGCTCCTGTGTCTGATGGAATTCCAAACTGTTATACAACCCTACCAGGCTTATATCCCATTCTGCACCAGAGTTCACCTTGAAGAACTGTTGAATCCGTTGCGTGTCAGACCCAGCTGTGTCTTGACACACTGCCTAAACTTTCCATGTCTTGTTAGAGATAATGAATATCTCTGGCTCGGGGAACAATGTCTGATTAGCTGGATTTTCCTATTGGTGTTTTTGCTGTGGAAGTTTGGAATGTAGTGAGAGATTAATTTTTTTCTTTTAGACTTATCTATTTTTATATGTATGAGTGTCTCGCCTGCATGTATATATGTGCACCATGTGCAAGCCTGGTGCCCAAATAGGCCAGGAGAGGGCACTGGAGCTCCTGGAACTGGACTTACTGGTTGTGAGCCACAGTGTAGGTGCTGGCTTTGAACCCAGGTCCTCTGCAAGAGTAACGCATGCTTTTAACCACCGAGTCACCCCTCTAGCCCCGTGAAAGTGCTTTGAGCATACACCTCTAATTTCTGTGAAGAAAATAAATGTGTACAGGGAGGAGAGGGCAAACTGTAGGCACGGAAAATGAAGTTTTTGGATCTGTACTCCTTACCATACTCTCCTGTGCTAGATAATATAAAGCCACAATCTATTGAATGGTCTGCACTGCTTGACGGCTGAGCACACACATATCACTGAGTCTTTACATCTTTATCCAGCAGACAGATTCTGATTTTATCCCTGGCCCCTCCATTTTTCAGGTGACAAAACTGAGGACCAGAGAAATTCTTTGCCAAAAGACACATAGTGGCTAAGAAATGGGGCCCAGGTGAGCATCCAAGCGTTTGGTCTCCAAAGCACGGTCCCATAAGCGGCAGCTACCACCATCCCAAGAGCGCTGAAGAGGTGTGCTGGGGTCAGCTGGTCCATAGCCAGCTGGGTGGGACACAGGAACTGAAACTCAAACTGTGACCTCCTTCGGACAGACCATGAGGAGCATCTGGGTGAGATATCGATTTGTACAGCGTGGACCCAGGTTGTCAATAGCCACGCCTGGGCTCCCAGGGGCAGCTCACACACAGCAAGACTATGATACAAGCTGTCAGCACAAGGAGTTAGGGGAAAGCAAACCCAGTTCTCAAGCCACATTCTTCACCTGGGAAAACCTGGCATAATACTGTATTGAAGGAAGGCTAGCCTGGGAGCCAAATGTCACAAAGGGGGTTCACGGTGTCCCCAGCTTCTGTCTTGCTTAAGTCTGATGTGGAAATTAGTGACATAATATCAATTTTGGCTCACTCTGAATTCTTTTAGAAATGTGAAGCTGGAAAATGGATTCAGCTGGTGAATTAGATCAACGCCCAATAATCCAGGAACCAAACCCTCCTTTTGGTCACAGCAGGCAATTATTGGGATTAAACGGTGCGCTGTCACCAGGCCCAACTCCCAATCTGCCCTCAACAGACTCAGCTTAAATCCAAAAGCTTTCACTTTGATAATTAGGGATAAGAAGATTCAACGCTCCTTAAACCAAAGGCTCCCGACCCACCAGTGATTTGTTTTTATCTAACTTTCTCCTCTTCCTCTTCTTGTTGACACAAGGTCTCACTATGTAACCCAGGCTGGCCTCGAACTCCTGTCCCTCCAGCTTTGGCCTCCTGAGTTTGGTTACAGATGTGTTTGCTGCAGCCGGTCTTAGCTTCTTCCTCCTCTGCTGTCCCTCTCTGTTACCCTGGGGCCTCATACATTGCTGTACGCTCTCACCCCGCCTCCATAGCACTGATATTAGCTCTTGTCTAAACCTTGGTGCTCTTTAGCCTGATAATTCTTCAAGTTTAATGGTTTGTAGACTGGAAAGTGAATTCGTTCCCTGTTTGTCAGTGTTGTGAGTTCCACATGGGGCTTGTTCAGTCAGAAAAACATCTGTATTATTAATCAGACAAACCAAATCCAGAGTGGACCTCAAAGGTTCATTTTAATGACTTTTCTCCACAGATGACAAAGTATCAGCTGCCAGGTCCCAGTGAGAAGGCTAAATATTACAATTGCATGATTTGAGTTTACCCTCAGAGTACAACGATCAAAATCCAATACAGTATTTGTGGAGTGACCTCATGTGTTCTATTCTGGCCTTAAGACAGTTGAATTAAAAACCTAATTTCTACTAGAAGTCTTTAAATGAGGAATTTAACTTGGACACACACACACACACACACACACACACACGCACACGCACGCACACACACACACACACGTATCTGCCCCACCCCCAACATACCATTATGAATTAAGGAAGAAGTTGGCGCTTTGCCCTAGAGGACAACACATGTGGGTAGTTAATCTGAGTGAAAGGCGCCATTTCCACAAATGCATTCTGACTTAAGCAGACCGGTGGTTGCCTGACAGCAGCTATTTAGGATTAGGAAGAAACTGCGATTGGGGTTTTAATGAATCACATGGCATTTGCTATTTACGAGTTCTTCAGCAGTTAGTTTGGCCCCTTTCCCAGGAGGCAGACCTTTCTGCCTAGTTACCCCAATGTATGTGTTGCTCCCAGAGGACACAATTTTGTCCCACAGATGTTGTCGTCAATGAGATGGGAGGATCCTGAGGCAGTCTAAACTTTGGGTTGATTTTAGCTTCTTGCTGGATACTGTGAGTCTCTCCTACCCCAAGAAGAAGACTGTCTTATCTTCAAAGGCAGCCTGAGAGTGAATTATTTACCAAATCACACAAAAGGGGGATTTATCAAGTTCCCTTTCTCCCAGAGAGGACATCCCCAGGACTGGAGGACTTTATTACTCACTCTCTGGTTGTAAATTATGTCACTCAGATGCTTCTGAAAGCTCCCCTTGCCTTAGTCATAAAACTTGATACCTGGGGCCAAACGCCTTTATCCACCCCTCAATCCCCACAGCCCCCATCCCCATCCCAGAACTGTGACATAGATGAAAAGGCAGTGTTTTTAAGGAGTGGCTCAGGAAGTGAAGAAATTGGCCTGAAGATATGGATGCCTATTCTACTACAAGATTAATTTTGCCGTTTGCTCAGTTTCATTGGCCTTCCAAGACCTGTACTGGCCACTTGGCAAGCCCTGCCTAGGATTAGTCAATCCCACCTTCTTGTCGTGATCATTAAGACTAGGTAGGATGTTAGATGTGGATTTCAATAAGGAAGCCACTCACCTGGGGAGGGTTTGCTGGTGCTCACTTTCTCTGGCTTCTTTGGGGTCATGGTACTTTTGTGTTTCTGCTTGACTGATGTTTGGCCAATGGCTGGAAGTTTGGGCTCACACTTAGCTGTAGGTAGTTTGGTAGATGACCGTGGTTCACTTAAGGAATCCTCCTCACTGGAACTCTGTGGAAAATGGAAGATGTGAGAGTCTCAGAGGCTGGGCCAAGCACCTTTGCTAAGCACAGAAACAGGAGTGGCAGAGGCAGTGGACCCTCCAGGACAGCTCAGACACATACATCTTGTGTTTGCTGCTCAGTTCCATCTGTGGTCGGGGAGATTTCGATGGATTGGGAAGACCAGCTTCAACATAGCAGCAGCATACTGAAGAGACTGTATTTCTGAGTCTGTTGTTGGGGCATATTGTGACAAGAATATGTTTCTGACCCTTAAGTAATTTGATGACCCATAAATAGTTCGTGCTTAAAGCTATATATGAAAGGAGACACTTTTAAACCCGTGCTTTTAACTTGTTTGCTATTTGAGATTTGAACTGTTTTGAGGATGGATAAAGGAAAATGTTCCTTATGCTAATTCATGTGTTTGACAATGAAAAGAAAATTTAGATCATGTAGCTTGGACTGATTGAGTCAGATTGCTGTTTCAATATTCCACATTATTGCACAAGACAGATGAATCTAAGAAGTCCCCTCTGTCTGTTTTCTAAAAACAAGTCAGTGTAAACCCACACCAGGACAAGTCACAGTTCCTGTAGTGTCAAAACATCTCAACTCAGGAGTACAGATGCAATAAAAATTATCCAAGCATTCAACAGTTTTACACTTTGCCACACTTATCGCCATCAAAGAAATGATGCAAACACTATAAATGACAGTCAAGACCCTGGCCTTCAAGGGTGATTTAACTGTAGCCCTGTGGCTTCAGGTCTTGGCTCCAGCATGCTTTGCGAGGGCCATTCCTTCTTCTACAAGCAAAATCCGAAGAGGTTTTTTTCCCACCTTTGGATCTCGGGAGGTTGTCCTACGTGGCATGTTAGTCCAGCACTAGAAACTTCTCTGAAAGTTCACAGGGATGCAATGCCAAATTAGCACCTCTGGTCCCTCCCCAGCTGCTGCAGCTCGCATTGATCTCGAGCACCCCTCTTGCTGACAGTTGTGGCATTTTCATCTCACCGGCTCCTGACTCAGGAAAATACGCTGAATAGCTTTGAATTACTGGGTGCAACGTTAAGACAAATGGAACTCTGGGGAAAAAAATCCCCACTTGTCAGTCTTCTGAGAGGTGGACTGATCATTATTTTCCATGATGACAAATCTTATTTTTAAATTTAGGTTTTGTATACAGCTTTCAAACAAATAATTATTGCTGCTCCATCCATTTTTGGAAAACAGACCACTCTTGGATAAAGGGACAGACAGAGGAGACATAAGGAGTCTCTATTCTCCCTTTCAATTCTGTGACTTAACAGAAATCTTTGGAAGTGATTCTGAAATGTCAAAGATGAATCATGAGGTCATTTCTGAGCATGAGATGAGCTCTCTATTCTCAGCAAAGTGGGTGTTTGGCAAATTTTAATTCTGATGCTGGAGACTGTCTTTATGATTGGCTGATGGAACCCAGAGTGAGCTGACGAGTCCACTCGCACAGGCCTTGTCCTTTAGACCACATTTTCCAACCTGCAGCGAAGGAGCTCCATCTAAGACTCCTGGATCTGCCCCGCCACCCCCAGCCAGGCTGGAACTCCTTGCTCACCCCAGGCAGCAGGGACTTGGGAGGATACGGGAAAGGGCTCTTTACTGGGTAGCCGCTCATCCTCCTTCTACCCGTTTGCTACGCTTCTATTCTTCAGTAGCACGGAGGAGCTGAGACAGTTTGGCCACGTAAACCAGTCAAGCAGGACTGTGCTCCTGGGAGCTGAGTACATCTTTCTCTGGTTTCTGGTCCCATCCCTTTTACTGCCAGGGGGGGTTAATTCTTGAGAGTTCAGAAACTGCCCCCTAGAAGGGGGTGTTTTTCATTGATTGGAAACAGAAGGTACAACAACAAGGCCTGGGATACTTAGAGTGTGCTGACTGACATTTTCCTCTTGCCTCACTGAGCAATCTTCAAGTTGTCACTTCTGCATTTACATTTACTGTTTAAATTTTTTGGTCTGTGATAATGTCCCTTCAGACCCTTAGCCGTTCCCACCTGGCTCCTCTCATGAAAACCTACTGGCTGTCATGTAGGCCAGAGAGAGCATGAGACACTGTAGGGACTCATTCTGGCACTAACGTGTGGCATTTAAAGCTCTGGGACTTCTGGGCAGTGAACCTGGTTCTTAGGGCCAGCAACCATGTAACGCGGGGCAAGTTTTCCTTAGTTTGTTGGTCAGTATTATTTTCCCATTCTTGGATTTCCTCAGCTGTGAACAACAGTACCTACATTTGGGGGTTTCCTGATGATCAAGAGAGACAAGACACGCACGCACACTTATGGCGACGACACTGCATTCATACCCCACAGTGTCCTGTGTCAGCTTTCAGGTTTCATTGCTCACTTTCCGCCACTTTCAGGAGTAGCTAACTACTGGACATCTGCTACCACAATGAAACCAAAGCCGAGGCCCCAATGAAAGTAATCCTATTGGACGGATGCCTCCCAATCCTGGGTGCATGAGCAGAGATGGGGTCAGTGCCTATGCTGCACTCCGGTATCTTCCACAGACCAAAGAATGTATGATAGTTATGCTAGCCAGCTGAGACTTCTCCAGTCTTAAAATGTGGCCCAAGGTTTTTTCTTTTTTTCAGATAGCAAGTTCTAATGGCAAATATTTAACAATATCGAGATTATCAAATCAACACTAATGGTTTTTTTTAATGTTAAGTGGAGTTCAGAACTGTCTTTTCCTGTTATAATTTTGAAATTTACAGTTTCCATTTCTTCACCATATGTTCCTAAGTTGAAACTGTCACATGACGGTGGAGGCAGCAGCCCACTGCTGTGTTCTTCTGGAAGTAGAAAAGCAGCTCTGCCTTTCAAAGTCGAAGCCCAGAACCCTGAAAAGGCTAAACAAAAACTGTAACAAAAACCCAGCCTATGTGAGTGCATAACAAACAAACAGAGACTATAACAAAATCCAGCCTATGCGAGTGTATAACAAACAAAAGCTATAACAAAAACCCAGATGTGTCCTCACGAATCTGTGCTAACTCCAATTTATTGATAAGATTACCTTTTTTCTGAAGTATTATTAACTGGGGATTTAAGGGTTCCCAAGGACTCCCCAGTTTGCTCTTGTAGCATCGTGCATAATAAATGATTGTAGATTACAGAGCAGTGGTTCTCAACCTGTGAGTTGCCACTCCTTGGAGTCACACATTAGACATCCTGCATGTCAGATATTTACATTATGATTCATAACAGTAGCAAAAATATGGTTATGAAGTAACAATGAAAATAATTTTATGGTTGGGGTTATCACAACATGAGGAACTATATTAAAGGGTTGTAGCATTAGGAAGTTTGAGAACCACCTGTCCAGACAAAGTTCTCAATGGGACTTGGTTAATTAGGGAAGGTTAGTGCCAGGCAATGGGGAACAACTTAGTAACATAACAGTTAGTTTGTTTTTAAATTTTCCCCTCATTCCCCTCCCCCCACCTTCTCTCTCTCCCTCCCCCATGCTGGGCCTCTGGGTTCTGGCCAGGCAGCTCTACTACTGAGCTCCATCCCTAGTTCTAATGTGGCAACATTTTGAAGGCTTCAAGTCAGAGCTCCTGGAAGGTGGAGATACCAGGACAGATGACGAATGGGAAGGCATTTCCCCCAGAATGCAAGAGGGACTAAAAATCTGGACCTAGCATTATTAGACGTGAAGTAAGGTGACAACACACAGAGGTGATTAGAAGACCCACAGACTCGAGTAGTCAGGGACGGAAAAGCCTTGACATTATTTTCCAACTCTTGCCTGATGGCTCCTTTCCAAGACCCAGGAAATTGGTTTTCACTTGTCCACCCCCTCATCCCTCCTGGAGTGGGGGAAATAGGGCTGATGGATTCACACCAAGCCGGATTTTGCCATGTGCTGAAACAGCAGAGATCGATGCAGAACTTTCTATGGGAGGAGGGGAGAAGCAAAGAAGACTGATGGACTGGGCTGATACAACTGTTGAGAGAGAGAGAGAGAGAGAGACAGAGACAGAGACAGAGACAGAGACACAGAGACAGACAGAGACACAGAGACAGGGACAGAGAGACAGAGACAGAGAGAGACACTGTGTTTCTAATATGTTGGGAATAAATTTAGTCTCAGGAGATTATGAAAAACTGCTGTCGAGACAAGGAACCTTGACAGTCAACAGGGACAACACACTGAAGTTGACCAGGAGACTGTGCACAAATGAGTGTCTTCAGAGTGCTTGTTCTCAAGGTCTGCATAAAATTGTGCCTCAGGCATAAAAAGCCATGTCTGGGAATCGAGGGTGGCTCTGTATAAACAGATTTATGGATGGGATGTAAACAGTTTCATACAAGTAAATAAAAAGCATGTTCTATGCTGGATGCTGTTTCCGTAGAAGGCAGGCTGAACTTTATCTTGTGCAGAAAAAAAAGAGCTTAAGACCAGTAAATATTTCTTGTGCATTCAGGACATTTTGAGGGCATTACTTGGAATTTTTAAAATATTGAACAATAATAATGTAGGGAAAGGGGACCAGCCAAAGAAACACACCCTGAGCAGAGCCAAAGAAACACACTTTGGCCCTGCAACCAGAACCAATGAAATGTACTCGGACCCTGAAATCAGTGCCAAAGAAACACACTTTGACCCTGGAATCAGAGCCAGTGAAAGAAATACACCCTGGCCCTAAAACTAGAATCAAAAGGCTAAAAACGACCAGTGAAAGAAACACACGTTGGCCCTGAAACCAGAGTGAAATCTGACCCTAACTCTGTGCAGAAAACTAACCAATCCTGGAGCAGGAGCTCTAGCCAATGTGAGTTCAGGGACTGAAATCTGACCAATCCCTACCCTGGAAAACTCTGCTCCCTAAAAAGCCCTATATAAACCCTGTGTCTGTTTAGCTTGTGGCTATTCATGCTACCCTGCTGTCCTCTGCCACTCTGGCAGAGGGCAGCCCCTCTCCTGGATTCTTCCCTATAAACCCCTTCAACCTTCTTTTGCG